GTTGAATAACTCGGTGAAAAAAATCGTACAACGCTCAACAAAAAAACAAATTAAAGGTAAAGATTCACTCTTTCGAAAGCTGTAAACTGCATTTGCATGCGATTTTTAATTCGCGCCATGGAACTTGTCAAAATTTGTAAAAAATTTTGAGATTCGTCGGGTCTTCTTTTCTATCCGTGTAATTCCATGAAAGATCAGTAGGACCATTTTCTAAAGTATCGATTTGTAAAGTAGAGACTTTAAACTGTAAAATGCTTTTTTGAACATCTCGATACGATCATTTTTGACGAAGTTACACTCTCTTGAATTTTGTCTATTTTTGGAGGGTAGAGCAAGTGATGCTTTAATTTTGTTGAGAAGTGGATTTTAATATTTTCTTTTCAAATTAATATTGCGAAAAAAGCAACTTGATATTATCAAATATTACATAAAAAAGTGCCAAACATGTATTACGAATTCCATCAATCCAATTTCAATAACTCATATTCACGTGTTGCCAAAAAATTATGTAATATGTGCAAATTACATAATTATATATATGCAAAATTATATATGTAATATGTGTTATATTAAATATGTATTATGTAATATGTTCAAATTACATAATTACATATATACAAAATTAAATTACAAGAGAATATCCATGTATTTATCTACAAACAAAAGATATACGTTAAATAATCTAAGATAATAAGCGACTGTAATCTAAAAAGTTTTTAATTTATTGTTTTAACGCACTAATTCCTAATCAGTTTAATAATATTTAAGTATAATAGGACGGAGACAATATTTCAACGAGAACAAAACTCGGTCTTTATAATTTTTCATAAATCAATCATTATATTAAATTTAAATAATATACTTATAAATTAAACTTATTTAACTATTGTGTCTATCATTACAACTATTTAACATAGATAATAACATAAGTAAATTATAATATGTATATATCGTTAGAAAAAATATGTAATAATATGTATTATAACTTTTTATACAGATAATGACAGACAAATTATAATAAATTATTAGAAAAATAATATTTAATAGAAAAATCCGAGAAAATAAATGTAATAAAGATTTTAATATTTTAATATATTATTTAAAGAACTCCGCACACACTTTATAGAAAATTGTTTCTCGTTAGAATTTGTCCATACCTTGTAATTTTGTAATTTATAGGACGCTGATTAAAAATGTCAATACTGTAGAAATTATAATTTAGTTAGAGGACGTTAAAAATTGATAATTTTTCAATAATAATAAATTTAAAATAAAAGGAATTTGAAAATACATAAGTAAGTAAGACAGATGGGAATCAGCGTTATTGGTACGCACTAATTGATTTATATGAAATTTGCTTTATTCTAAAGTCAGACGTTTCGATTATATTTCTTAGCCACTTTCAGTGATGAATTAAAAAAAAATTACATTAAACTCTCACTCTTAGTTTCCTAAAGCTTGTGTTCTTCCACGTCTAATGAGTAAGGAAGCAATTTTAGATATCTTCAATAGCTGTCCGTACAATTGAAGGGCTGCATGGTCTAATTGTATGTTCTCAAATTAAAATCGGTGTAAAAAAAAAAAATTTTGATCTAAAAGAATTATACTAAAGTTTACTCACCTCAAACATAATAAAACACACTTCGAGTCTTGGCAACGATACAATTAATAAATAAACGAAAATGTATAAAACTTGGTCACAATTTAAAATAAAAGAAAAGATAAAACTATCGTAGCATCTGTACTCGTCAAAGTCCGAGCGAGTAATGCCCTATTATATATCATTTTTTATCACCAGTGTCTGTAGGATAAAAATTATTTTCGTCTCTTTATATCTTTATAAACAATAGCTTGTAATCATGGTCACAGAGTATAAGCGCAATTTAAGTATTCGGTGTCTGTTTGCAAGTTAATATTGCTTTTTGGCGTTTAATGTTGATCATTTCTGATATTAATCGTTTATTAAAATTTCTCTCTACATCCAGAATTTCCACATCCTCCCAGTTAAAATCATGATTGTGAATACATTTATATTCTGTTACAACCGAGTGGGAGTTAGTATTTCTATTGATATCCTTTTTGTGTTCAGCAATTCTAGTCTTTAAAAATCTCTTTGTCTGACCTACGTAGCATGTATCGCAGTTTTTACATGAAATTTTATAAACTACATTCTTCTTTAGATAATGTGGTAATTGATCTTTATGTACCTTGATAATGCTTTGTAGTTTATTAATGTTATGAAAACATAATTTCGCGTCGTTGTCTTTAACAATGTTTTAAAATTTTTCAGAAATATTTTTTACATAGGGTATGTGAATATATAAGGTATGTGAATAGAGTATGGGTGGGTGAACCATTTAATTTTTTCTTTCTCATTAGCTATAATAGTGCTATTCTGGTTAATTACTTTTTTATTTAATAACGTCCTAATTCTCGATGCAATTGTTTCAAAAATAAATTTAAGAGGATAATTATTCTCCAATAATATGTTCATTATGTATTCCAAGTTTTTTTGGTAAAATTCTGGATGTGAAAGAGTAAATGCTCTGTCTAAACACTCTAAACCTATAATCTGTCTTAAATGTCTTAAACCTATAATCGTGCCTTTTTTTTGAGAGAGCGGGTGCTGTGATTGAAAGTTTAGATATCTTCTCGAGAATGTTGGTTTGTGGTACCAATCAAATTTAATTCTATGTTATCATTAATTAAAGTATCTAAAAAAAAATGAATTGCCTCCAATTTCCATTGGTAAGTTTCAATCTCGGATGCATCGAATTAAATTTCTCGAGGACATTATCTATGGCTGAGTGAGGAATCGCCGTTACAATGTTATCTACATATCAAAAGTAAAATGGTATATAAAAGTCGAATTTCTTCAGCACTTCCTCCTCAATGTCTCTCATAACTAAGTCCGCAGCTGCTGGTGATACATGGCAGCCCATGGGTATCCCAAAACTTTGCTTGTAAAGAATGACCCCAAAAATGCCCTGTATTCTCGCCCTCGATTCTGAACTTTATTTTGGTGAAAAATAATAGTAAACCATGAGACACTAATTCTCTGAAACTTTCAAATGGA